GACTTTGCCAAAGTCCTTTGTCAGTGCAAGGAGGTTTTTGACAGATTCCCTTAGGTTGCTGATACCAGTCCTATTGAAAGTATTCCAGGCAATTGAGAAAGATGGAACTCTCCCCAAATCTTTTTATGAAACTAGCATCACACTGATACCTAAACAGGGAGAAGACCCACCAAAGAAAGAGAACTATAGGCCAATATCCCTGATGGACATAGATACAAAAATTCTCAATAAGATTCTAGCAAATCAGATCCAACAACGTATCTCAAAAATTATCCATCATGACCCAGTAGGCTTCATCCCCAAGATGCAGGGCTGGCTCAACATCTGCAAGACCATAAATGTAATGCAATACATCAACAGATGTAAAAACAAGAACCACATGATTATATCATTAGATGCAGAAAAAAACTTTTGACAAAATCCAGCCTCCTTTCTTGATAAAAACTCTTGAACACCTAGGCATAGAGGGAATGTACCTTAAAATAATAAGAGCAATCTATGATAAATTCACTGCCAACATATTGTTAAACAGACAGAAATTGGAAGCATTTGCCCTGAAAACTGGAACAGGACAAGTCTGCCCACTCTCACCTCTCCTGTTCAACATAGTGTTGGAAGTCCTAGCTAGAGCAATCAGACAAGAGAAGGAAATCAGGGGTATCCAATAGGAAAAGAGGAAGTTAAGCTATCCCTCTTTGCTGACAATATGATCCTATACCAAAAATACTTTTAATTTAAAAAAAAAGGGACTAGGATTCATCAACAACAGGATTTTTAGTTAAAATATGAGTTTCAGTGTAAACCTCAGATGAGAAAACCTGACCATTCCTGTGGAAAAGGCCTCTCAATAGGTGTATTGCCTCAAATGGAAAGTACTTTGAAGGTGACTGAAGTTTAAACATGTAAGAATAAATACACAATTTTTATTAAATAAATTCCAGTTTTGGGGAGCTATCCCTCATATATATTAGAACAGAGGACCAAGAATTTTGATTTAAAAAAAAAAAATCCTGAGAAAAGGCAATATATTAGCAACATGAAACAAGAAAAAAAAATCCCCAAAGAACCATGTAAAGTATTAGCATAAAAAGATATAGAGTTGAGGTCGGATGAATAATGACATAGACACAATTAAAGAATGGATTAGTTGAAAGACAAGATGAAAGAATGCTTCTAGAAAGAAATAGAAAATATGGAAGTTCATAGACAGAGATAATAAGAGTAAAAACATCTTTTAGCTACTTGTGAACCCTGAAGGAGAAAATATAAAGAAAAGAAAAATTTTAAAGAAATATGGGGAACATTTTCTAAAGGAAGAACAGCCACAGATTGAAATGTTCTATAGAGGACCAAATGGGAAATATGGATTTAAAACACAGATATATTATACAGAGACATAAGAATATCAATATAAATATGATTTATTAAAAAAAGTATAAGTGCTTCTTTCCATTACTGTAATGTCTGTCCTGGAATCTGTATATCAACATATCACCTAGCCATTTCATAGACTTGAAAATCATGAAACTATAAAGTCATCGAGTATACACTATTATGAAATATTTTTTCTGTTGTAAAAACTTAAATTTAAACCCTTAGATTAAAGGTTTTGGCAAATTTGTAAGAGCAGTCTTAATTTTATATTTTAGATGTAAAATGTCTTCATTTTCACTTTAACTGCCACCCATATTGATGACCTTTACTTGTTCTCAGTAGAGTCATAACTTGCTGTGTGTGTTTTGGTATTTTCGCTAACCATATAGTTTGGTGCCAAGGTTCATAACTATGATTTTGTTCATTTCTGGCTTTGTGACTCTGGGTGAGTTACTTGTCTCCTCTGTGCCTCAGTTTTTCAATCTGTAAAGTTGGGAAGATAATGATAATACAAACCATTTAGGGTTATTGCAAAGATTAAATAAATGAATACATTTAAAGTGCATAAACTTGGCATGCGGAAATGATTATTAATTTTAACTGCTATTAACTATTGCTAGAGTTTACACCAACTCTCCTCACATTACTTACTTATTATGCGTTTCAGGGAGGATGAAATAATTCGGCAAGCCAGTGGGAACAGGAAGCTTCATGAAGAAGAGGGAGGGGTAAGGCATGGAAACCATACAGAGCACGAGGATAGAGTGGAAGGAGCAGAGTTTAGGGGTTAAATACACTCAGATTAGGTCAGAGCTCCAGGCCAGATGCGGTGATGCATGCCTATAATCCCAACACCCAGAAAGGCCAAAGCAGGAGGAATGCTTGAGCCTAGGAGTTCAAGACCAGCCTGGGCAACAACCCTGTCTTTACAAAAATAAAAATTAGCTGGGAGTGGTGATGCATGCCTGTAGTCCCAGCTACTTAGGAGGGTGAGGTGGAAGAATCACCTGAGCCCAGGAAGTTGAGGCTGTGGCAAGTGATCATGCCACTGCATTCCAGACTTAGGACAGAGTGAGTCCTTGACTCAAAAAAAGAAAAAAGAGATAACTTCAATACTTACTAGGTATGTAAACTGGTGACTCCCTAAAACTCTCTAAACTTTATTTGTAAGTGGGGGAATCGATACCTATTCTGAAATCTTTAAAGTCAGGAATTCAGAAATGATGCAATTAGTTGAATCCCCCTCATTTTTAAAGCAAAAATTAGGAATATACAATTTCAAACTTTACATTTCAACTTAACATGATGCCATGAACATATTTTCATGTCATTAAATATTTGATTACATAAAAAGCTAACAGTAGTTTATTAAATGTATATGCCATAACTTATTTAATTGGTTTTCTGCTTTTGAATATTCATGTTGTTTCAAGTGTACTATACTATTGGCAATCAAATAATGAACATCTACGATGATGAACTTTGATGTGCCTGTTATTTTGATTTAGTAAAAGAAGTTGTGGGAGAAATCATATGGACATTTAGCTGTCCTCCAAGTGGCTTGTACCAATTACCCTCTCAGATGCAGTGGGTGAGTGCCTATTGGCCTGTGTCCTCACAAGTGTAGACGCTACTTTTATTTTCACTCTGCAAATTTAGGTGAAATTGGTATCTCATCGCTTTGATTACAACGGCTTTATTACGAGTAATTTTTGCATGATTGTTGTATCTCTCTTGTTATGAATCACCTTTTCATTCCTTTGCCTGTTTTTCTATTGGCATATTCATTTTTTAATTTATGAAAGCTCACTACATGTTAAGTATATTTATGTTATGCATTATACATATGTGTGCATGTGTATATATATAATGCTCTCTGTTAGCACTTTAACATTTGTTTTGTATTTTTCCTGTTTTTGATATATAGAAGTTTAATATTTTTATATATTCATTGCCATGGTCTTTTTTTTTTTTTGGTCTCACCATTTTGTGTGATGTTAAGGCTGTCTCCCTTTACTTCTCTTCACTTAATGTCAAAAATACGGATTATATTTTAAAAACCAGAATACTGGACTATCAGCATCCACATTAGGGAAGGAATGAGTAAGCTCTTAGACAAAGCTTAACTTCACAGGGCTGATGTGTATTATGAGGCAATATTTACTAAAAGTGTGATGTATGAAGAAGTTATTTACTTCCAATACAGAGTAAAAGTCATCCCAAGCCATGCATGTCCAGAGATGGGCATGTGTGTGGCTAAACCAAAGTATAAACAAGTAAAGTCTTGATTTTGTTAACATTTTTTCGGAGACTCAAATAATAACATCAGAGGAAATATAATCGTTTAAAGTCACATTACTCATTTTGCTTGAAGTGGAGGCATGTCTTCACCTGGGATCTCAAATGCGGTCATAGTCAGAGGTATGTCTCCACGTGCACAGCAAAACGAATTTGTTGGGTAAACACAAATCCCAAATAAGCAGCCTCAGTGCTTTCTTGAAAGTCCAGTAGAGAGAGGGACTCTGTAAACTGCATCAATTTCAAAGTGAGAGAGATTAAGAGAAAGTCTCTTTTGCAAAATTTATCTTGGGAAGCTATGATTAGTTTTATGTGTCAACTTAACTGGGCTGTAGGGTGTCCAGATATTTGCCCAACTGTTTTTCTGAGTGTTTCCTTGAGGGTGTTTTTTCGTTGTTTTTTTTGCTAATACTAATTTTTAAATTGGTAGATTGTGGGTCCTAATGTGGGTGGGCCCCATCTAATCAGCCAAAGGTTTACATATAACAAAATGTCAACCCTTCCCCACGCCCTCCAGGTAAGAGATAATTCCTTCTGCTTGACTGCCTTCAAACAGGGACATTGTTTTTTCCTGCCTTTGGACTTGACCTAAATTTGTGGCTTTTCCTGGGTCTTGAGCCTGCTGGCCATTTGACTGGAACTCCATTAACTCTCCTGGGTTTCCAGCCTGCTGACTCACCCTGCAGATCCTAGAAGCTGTCAGCCTTCACAATCATGTAGGTCGATTTCTTGTAGCATCTTTCTTGCTATCTTTATCATCTCTATGTTCCTTCCCTCCCCTCCCCTTCCCTCCCCTCCCCTCCTCTCCACTCCCTGTCTCTCTCATCATCTCCTATTGGTTCTATTCCTCTGGAGAATCCTAATACAGAAATCCTGAATGTAAACTCAGCCAAGGACAAGAATACACTGTGACTGAAATACACCTCTATAAAAAATTCCAGCTAAGGCATGGCTAAGTTCAAGGCATTACCAACCCTCGCCCCGAATGCAAATTGTTTCATTTACCAAGTGAGAGAATTAGTATTCATCACACACAGCTGTTGGGGGCCTCAATTTAGGTGACATATAGTAAAACACTAGGTAAACTGCTAAAAAGAAATCTGTTACCAATTATTACTTTTATCTGAAGTAACCAATGAATGGTGACAACCTTAGCAGAAAGATCCCACCTAAGTGATTTTGTAATAATTTCAAAGTAGAAGACCATTACCCCCCATGAACATGCTACAAATCTGTACACACACTATGCACATGCTCACTACATACTCACACACAGACACTGCCACATGAACTTCTGTTTGGGGGAAAATAATAAAGCTGACTGTTTTACTGTTAAACTTTTTTTTTTATTGTGCAGGCTTGTAACCTTTATAGGACATGCAGGATAAAAAAGTGTAAAATATATCAGTAAGCATATAAAATTTCAGCTATCTTTTGGACCAGCAATCGCTTTGCATGAGAGACTAAGCATCTATGTAGAACAGACATGTCTTGGAATACACAGTTTACAGACTGAATCATAAATCCATTACCTAAGTGATTTTCCTCATATAAAGTTTAAAATATCTTTACATTTAAAAAAGTATGCAGTATAGCACATTTTCAGTTATGTACACAGTTTAAAAGTAAAACTATGTCCATGCCAGTGTCTGTTTTAAATGCAAAAAATCAAAGTAGGTAGCAGGTTGGTAATTAAAGTGTCAGGAAGACTGTAAGAGGCAAAAACCAAGCAGAGTTCCAATAAGTGTATGAAGATACAAATAAAAGCATAATTGAAGGTTAAAAAAAAAAATCCAAAGGGCAGAATCACAATATGAGCAGGAGGAATGAAGAGCTTTTGGATGTACCAGGCAGCTTTTGGTATGACTCAGGTTTACAGGTGAAATTCCTCAGTTTGAGTTCAGAAGAATTTGAACTTATTCCAGCAAAATGACTTCAATCTTTTATTACTGTCTCCTCCCCCATCTTCTTTCTGAGCAAAGTGATGCTTGGATTAGGTCCAAAGCTCCTGGCAGGGGGAGGGGCCACGTGTCACAGCATAACAGACAGTTGCAAGTACTTTACTTGGAAGGGGTCATGTTTGCAACAGCTCTGACAGGCTTACACAATGGCCTCCATTTTGACAGCCTTTCCCCGGAGGCCCACTGATCAGCTGAAAAGGGAACACAATGTTGAGCCACTAAACCACCCCGGTGATGGATTAGTTTTGGATTCAGGAAAGCATGATTATTCTTGAAAATAACCGAAGCTGAATAGACATGCTGACCTCATTCAGCTGATGAGAGGCAGGAAAGCTGGCTTCCACTCCTGCCAGCCCAGAGAGGGCTCAGCCCCATTGGTCCACTTTAATTCACTTCATCAGGCTAATGTTGACCATACTCAATATGGATAAAGATGCTCTATGACCAAGCACAGACATGAGCTTCACCAGACTCTGTAACTCAGAGTCAGAAACAAACATGGAAAACTAGGTCATGGATATTCTAATTTTGGTCTTCAGGGAGGCTGCTGACCTAATGAAAGTTGATGAGCTGGACCCTATTTGAAAAGGAAAATGTGAAAAACAGGAAGGCACTAAGGTCTCATCATCTATAGAACAAATAGTCAGGCACAGAAAGTATCATAGGTTGAAATTTCAAGAAGAGTAAGGCATCAGTCGGATCATAAGAATACAGGAGATTGTGTTTTTAACTTGTAAAGATTACTAGATCCCACTGGATTGTTAAAATGAATAGCAATAATCCACTAGCTCCTCAGATAATGGTTAAAGAGTCTGCTTAAAATCTGCCCACATACTTGTACACTCCATGGCCAAAGCCTGAAATTCTTTGCTTACCAGAAAATGACCAACATTTTAGAGTAGGCAGCTAAGGTTGTTAGCTCTTTTTTTTTTTTTTTTTTTTTTATTCTCCTCGGTTCTTCATATTTCTCTCAAATTACCTTTCAACAATATGTTCATTTTTCAGCCAATATAACAATGCTCAATCCACATGGAAATAAAAAGGCAAGGAAAACAATTTAAATGGGTTTTTAAAAATTCGGACTGCCAAAAAAGAAAAAAATAGATGAAATCGCTCAGAAGAGACAAATAATACTTATGAAAACTGACAAAGTTATTTCTTTGTTCTCAACCAAGCTAATTCATCATAAATCGCTGCTGTACTCACAACTTGAAACTTGAAATTGGCACCGAGAAAATTTAAAGAAAAAAAAAAGAATCAGGTTTACTCCTATCCTTGAAATGTCATTTATATTTCTTTCTGCATGTTGATGCGGATATTGCTGAATACTTTGCCGATAGCTTCAAAGAGTGGGTCACAGAAGGTGTGGATATAGATGGAATAGACACGGCTGATGCACTGAATCTCAATCAGGAAGCTCTTAATGCACGGCACAACTGCCCAGATGTGCAGGAAAGAGAGAATGGCGAAGTAGATGCCCCAGATGAGCGCCATCGGGATGCCAAAGAGGGCAGACAGCAAGCGGTAAAACCAGTATTTCGTCACAGTGAACGTGGTGAAGCTGGCCTTCCAAATGCCATCGAAACTGTGTGTCCCTTCTGGTTCTGCAATCACGTCTTCAAAGTCAATCTAAAAGAAAGAAGTGACAGAACGTGAGAATGGAATCGAGGAAAAGAGAAAAGAAAATCCACCACTCTGCATCCATAAACAAGTACTGTGCTAGCTTCTATGCACTAGTTCTGTCTGAGATGCTTAAAGACAACCAGCATCAGCATCACTGGACCTTGGAAACACAAATATTAAGGTTTTGCTCAGGCTTTATTGTATCTTAGGGTGGAGCCCATGTTTACATGTTCTTTACCACGCGAAAGGTCGAGAACTGCTACTCTAGGGAAAACCAAAAGGATATGATTCCATTTTTGGCCTTCCTAATATGGATAAGGGTACAAGGAACTCAGAAAAATATAACAAGCATGACATAATTTAACTGCCTTTGGAGACTACACACTCAGTGTTAAGGAGTAGTTAGTTTGTAATTGATGAGCAACTCTTCAAACACTCAATTAGAAGAATTATGTCAGAAAATTAGATCAAGGTGAGCTGGGAGGCATCAGGACATTTTATGAGCTGGTGGCATTTAAACACAGTTTGGGAGTTAGGGCATGATTTGGAGAGGAAGAAAGAAAGGAATTTAGAAACGTTGTGTCAAAACCCCAGGAATAAGCAAGGGTGAGTACAATACGTGTCACAGGCAGATTATGTCACCAAGGCTGGAAAGCCAGGTTGAGGCCAGATTGGATGTCATTTTACAGACAGTGGGGTCCACAGAAAATGGATGAGTGCAGCCACAATCAACGCAGTAGTTTACCAAGATGAAATTGACAGCAGTATGTAGACCGGAGAGAAAGGAAAGAGGCTCATGGCAGAGAAACTGTTGTCATACAAGCTTGAGCCGGAAAAGTGGTCACAAGAAAAAAAAGAAGGCATTCTGGGGATTTTAAGGGAAGAATCCACAGGACTTGGTTACTTCAAGGATAGGGAATGAGAGGAGCCTAAGATGAGCTTTACGGTTCTGAATGGCCTGCCAGGTAATAGAGGTGATGCCAAGCAGGAAGAAAATTAAAAAGAGAAGTCAGTTTAAAAGAGATCGTTAACCAGAGAAAACTTCATTTCTGAATTAAACAAACCGAGAGTAAACTTTTGAATAAGGACAGATACAAATACCAATGGTCCGCACCTAAGGAATCCTGTAGTAGTCCCCTTTGGTGTCCAGTAGGGATTAATCAAATGAGTTTGCTGTCACATAGCATTAATAGTTACCACACACATCATCTTCCTGTGTTCTGAGGTCTCAAACCTATCTGGGAAAGTATATCATGGTCATTTTACAAAAGAAGAGACAGAGGTTCAGAGAAGTGAGAGTGACTTGCTGAAGTCAAACACACAGTAATGGTGGGGTCAAAACCAAATGCAGCCCTTTCCCCAATAGCATTCTCTCTCAGGTATGTGTTCACCTAAATAATCAATTCCCAGGAGCTCTATCCCTCTGTAAGAATTTGTAGAAACTAACCTGAAGCCTAGGATTAAAAAGCCAGCTCAACTGCTTGGCGGTGGCAGTTATATGAAACAATCTAATGTAGTTTGAAATCCAAACAAGTTGATGACTGCCAGCAGCTATGCAGGCTGGCTCAGGATGAGGGAATGAGGACTTGAATAACTTCATGGAGCTGCTCAGCACCAAAGAGCCCCTTTTGATTCAACACAATAAAATGTCTTCTGGAAAAAGTACACGGTGCTTACCAATTTTTAAAGTCTATTTTCTAGAACATTCTGTTTCGTGATTTATTGTCCAATGTTCTAAAAATGTAATATGAAAAAATATGGCTATAATTATGGAAATGAAGTTAAATAGATTTATTATCACTAATTTTTTTCTTCACTCATTTAGATCTAGATTCAGAGGTAAACATTTACTTGTATATTTTCAAATGTTGTAGGAAATACGTGGCAAATCAGATCAATACTCTAATGAGGTTTCTGTGCAATGTATTTAATGGTCTATCATGGGGCCATGTTCTGACACTGCATTCTTCCCAAAGCTATGAAAAATAAGGACTTGTTGTTTTCCATCGCTCAACTACAAGATACCAAAAAAATTGTATATTTTAAAGATGTCTTTGTTTTCTAAGAGGATTTGGTGATGCCAGAATTAAAACACTAGAGCAGGTGTTCTTAATCTGGGGTCAAAGGATGGGCAGTGTTTGTCCACAAATGTCCTGAAATGAGTGCATACATTTTGAGTGTATGATGGGAAATGGTCCATCACTTTTATTAGAAAAGAGTCTAGCCGGCTCGGTAGCTCAGCCTATAATCCCGTGCCTTTGGGAGGCTGAGGTGAGTGGATTGCCTGAGCCCGTGGGTTCGAGACCCGCCTGGGCAGCGAGACCTCATCTCTACAATAAATCAAAAAATCAGCCGG